GGGTATGCGAAGCGGTCTTAGCCCAATTCTTCCTTTCACGCATTGATGGTAAGTGGAGACTACGAGCTTATGCTTGTTGAGCCATGGCCTTCCGAGTAAAGCATGGTAAGCCACATCCACATCCACCACATAGAACTTGGTAAGTGACCTGATCGGCCCCACCTTCAGGTTTACTTGCATGTACCCGACTGTAACTTCACTCTTATTTCCGAAGCCGCTGATGCTCGTCTGGGATTGCACGATTTTAGATAACGGAATACCAGCTGCCGTAAGCACAGACAGAGGTAATATGTTGACAGAGGAGCCCGTGTCCACCAAAGCCCTTCTTATAAACACATCATTGATTTGTCCCTCCAAATAAAGTGGTCTTCTATGATCCGGATATGGAACTTCCATGTCTTCGTCTGTGAAAACGATAGCGTTGTCATTTCCCAAGAATGACCTTTGTGGTTGAGCAGCGAAACAATAAGGATCCGACTCCGCAGAGATGTTCATGAGAGCTACAGCAGCTGCTTCTCTTGCTTGAGGCCCAAAGCCAAGTTGGTCAAAGAGTGACTTGAATTTCGGATTCCTTTGGAGGACTTGTGAGGCTGTGGGTCCCTGCTTCAGACCTAGATAGCGCTCCATTACGCTCGCTTCGGCCTCCGTAAGATTGTGAAAGGTCACGGCGGCCGTTTCCTGCTGCGAAGCCCCCAAGTAGCATTCTTCCGGCACGTCCATCGGAAATACTTCATCACCTGTGCTATCATCCCATCCACCAGCGAGGGGCCATGGGGTATTATAGCTTGAAGGCCTCGAATATTTGCACCAATAAGCTTTCTCCATATTCCCGCAAGGCTCCCAAACAGCTTCAGGTGGCTTCGGGTCATTCCTCCATGGGTGGCATGCCTCATCATCGTCGAGCAAGGTCACCGGAACATGTGATAACAGCAGCTATTTCTTTTCCCCTTCGTTTTGGCAAGGGGTCTTCGTCAATAGTTTGCTTCCTATGGGGTCCTCGTCAATAGTTTGCTTCCTAGAGGGAAGCTCGAGAACTCCCTCATGTATTTTGGCATGTAAGATCCTCCTTAGGCTCTGACAAGCCGTGGTTGGGTGCCCCACAAATTGGTGGTAACGGCAGTACCTAGGATCATTTTTCTCTTCCCGGGTAGGAATTTTGTAAGGTCTGAGAGGCTTGATTGCACCATCAGCGATCATTGTGTCGAGGATAGCATGAAATTCTTCGTCTTTGCAAGGTAATGGCGGGTACGTCTCCCTATCCTTCCGCTTGCGTGAGTTGTAGTCACCCGATGATTTATCATCCACAGCCAACGTCTGATGCGTCTCCTTCTTCTCACTTCTCCAACTTCTCTGCCCAGCTGGTTTGACAGACATGCTCGTCTTTCTTACTGCTTCCAGCAGCCGAGAAAATTGACTGATGCCAATATTCTCCAAATAAACTCTATAATCTGCAACGATATTGCTGATGCAAATTTCGACCAGCGCCTCCTCGTCCTTCTCGTCATAACAGTCCAAGGCCAAGTCCCGGAACCTGCGCACGAAGTCCACAGGATCCTCCCCGTGTTTTTGGCGAGTGTTGTTGAGCTGAGTAGTAGTGACTCTTTCCTCGTGCTGGAAATATTTCTTGCAGAACCTGCTTGCCAAGTCTTCCCACGAGCGAATGGAGCCTGGTGCTAAAGTGGTATACCATGTGTAAGCACGGTCAGTAAGGCTTTTTGAAAACTCTCGGAGCCGAAGATTATAATCGCCAGCATGTGGCCCGAGAGCGTCAATGAAGCGATTGACGTGCTCCTTTGGACTTCCTTTCCTTCCGTCAAAAAGAACAAAGCTTGGCGCCTCGTAGCCTTTAGGGTATGGCTGCTGGAGTAAGCTCGAGGGATATGGTGGCTGAGGGATGTACTTCCAATCTTCCTGACTTCGATTAAGCTCTCTTTCCAGCATGGCAACGACGTCCTCCTGAGTAACAAAAGATGGTCCTTTCCGTTCAGATCCTTTTCCAGCAGCGACAGCAGACTCCTCCTGTGGGTGTCCATTGTTTTCCTCGGTCGGCTTAGAGACAGAGCCCTTCAATTCCTTGATGGTGTCCATCATCTCCCTTTGGGTTTCCCCCATAGCCTGAATGGCTGTAATGAGGTCTGTGAGGGTGAAAGCTCTCTCACTTGCACGTTCTTGCTCTCTAGAAGAGGCGTTCTGTCGTGATTCAGAATCACCATGGTCGAGCCCATCTTGGGAAGCCATGGTATTACTTCTGGTCTTCTTCTTCGGAGGCATCAATGGAAATGGCAGTCTGGTCCCCAGCAGAGTCGCCAATTTATGTGGGGGTCCTTTTGTTCCAGCAACCTAACGAATGGGCTTGGGCCGCTGGGAGAAGAAAGCGAACAAAAGATCCTCTCTAAAGCCTGAGTTCAAGAACCA